CCTGCCACTCACAGTCGTATTGAATTGAATCTGTGAATATCACAGTCTCTTTTTCTGTAAACTGTGTTATTAATGTTGTATGAGCACCCCGTTCAGGATCAGGGCCTTGTATGTTTTACATACCATATAAACAACAAAATCCTAATCCCTGACCCAGTAGACTGAATTCTCTAAATGCTTCAACTGATGTAAGTGTATTAGGCCAGTTTTCTGAAAATGGCAGTGAACAGTGATTTTTTTCCCCTATCTGAGAAAGTAGTAGTACATTCACATCACTTTTTTTCTTTCTCAGGCTCTGGGAAAGGAGGTAGCAGTATCTGGGGCAGGAAATTTGAAGATGAATTCAGTGAATACCTAAAGGTATTTCTATGCTCTATAATATAGACATTTTTCATAACAAAAATGTATTCCAAGGAGTAGAGGAAGAGCAGCACCAGAAAAACTGGCTGATGGTAATTGTTGGAGGCTAGGAGTGGGATACAGGAGTCCCAATAGTTTGGGAAGGGGCATAGTTAGGGGAGTCTGTTTCTCCAGATCATGGGAAGAAGGAATTTGTATGGCTGTGAGATGTCTTTCATGCTCCTTATGGAGGAAGGAAAGTATTTCAACTTGGGGCATTTTTGAGGAGTTAGTACTAGATCATGATTGGCAGTTGGTACGGGATCAACTTTTGTTTCATATTTTTTAAAAGTTTGGGACTTGAAGCATAAAGTAATTGACCTTTGTATGTGTATCATAGTCCTGTGTTCACCAAAGCAAGAGTGTTTATACATATTTTCCCTTTCTGGTCTCTCTTCCAGCACAGTGTTCGCGGAGTTGTTTCCTTAGCAAACAATGGTCCTAATACCAATGGATCTCAGTTCTTCATCACATATGGGAAGCAACCACATCTGGATATGAAGTATACTGTCTTTGGGAAGTGAGTGATTCAGCAATGTACCTCCTTATCATCATGTTACGAGTGAGATTATAACAGAGCAAGCATAACAGACCTGTAAAAATCAATCTTGTCTGAAATATCCTGTAGTTGTTAGGTTTTTTTTCCATAGACATTAGGGCTGGAAGGGACCTCGGGAGATCATCGAGTCCAGGCCCCTGCCCAAAGGGCAGGAAGTCAGCTGGGGTCGTAGGATCCCAGCAAGATAAGCATCCAGTTTGCTCTTGAAGGTGTTCAATGAAGGCGCTTGAACCACCTCCGGTGGCAGGCTGTTCCAGACCTTGGGGGCCTGGACAGTAAAGAAATTCTTCCTTATGTCCAGCCTGAAACGGTCTTGTAGTAGTTTATGACCATTCGACCTAGTCGTCATCCCTAGGGGCGCTCTGGTGAACAAACGTTCCCCCAGATACTGGTGGTCACCCCTGATAAACTTATAGGTGACCATCAGATCACCCCTGAGCCTGCGCTTTTCCAGGCTAAAGAGCCCCAGGGCTCTCAGCCTGTCATCGTAGGGTCTGCTTCCCTGACCTCTGATCATGCGCGTGGCTCTTCTCTGGACTCTCTCAAGCTTCTCCACATCCTTTTTGAATTGTGGAGCCCAAAACTGGACGCAGTACTCCAGCTGCAGCCTCACTAAGGCCGAGTACAAGGGGAGAATGATGTCCCGGGATTTGCTTGAGAGGCATCTATGGATGCAAGCCAGCGTTTTGGTCGCTTTACTAGCCGCAGCATTGCACTGCAGGCTCATGTTCATCTTGTGGTCAATGAGTTCACAAGCATCATTAATGTGAAACTAAACTAAAGCATTAAATATATAACCTCATCCTGCAAACCCTTTATTTTACTCCTACAAGTTATTGAATTAAATTCAATACAGTTACTCATAGTAAGGACTGCTTGCTTGAGTAAGAGTATGATGGACTGATCCCTTAATTATTTTGCTTGTCTTATACAGAGCAGAGATGGGGTAGATCAGAATGGCTTTTTTTTGTAGTTATTGTTTCTCATATTTCACCAGTTCTCCTGCAAGTCCAATTTTACTGATACTGATTCTAATTTAGCTTCTGAGAGGGAAGGTGGTGCATAAATAAATTTGGGGGAAAGAACACTGAGGTGTGACCTTTGATTATGGGAGTATTACTGTTGTTCTCTTTTAAGTTCCTCTGTTTTGATTTACAATAGTTTCCTGTCTGGTCATCATCCAGGAGTCACTCATGGGCATTTAAATTTCTGTTTCAAAATAGATTAGCATCCAACTGTCCAAACAGTATGCTGCCTTACTTGCTTCCTCAGTTCTTGCCTTGCAGATTACAAATTTGCTTTAAAGAACTTTGAGATACCTAGAGTATAAAAAATAGACTTTTCATTATGAATCTCCTAATTGTTCTGCTTTTTTTCCAGGGTAATTGATGGCTTGGAGACCCTGGATGAGTTGGAGAAGCTGCCAGTGAATGAGAAAACGTATCGACCTCTTAACGACGTTCATATTAAGGACATCACAATTCATTCCAATCCTTTTGCTCTATAGAGATTGGTCAGGCTAACTACTGATCACGATGTTTACACTGGAAGTGTCAGTAAAATTCTGTCATGCCTTTACTCCTTGACGGCAGGACTTTCAGTAACTGATAGCGTCAGACATGGTCCCAGTGGGAAAAATGAACTCTGGCTTTTTTAAATCTAGATATTCCACAGTCCGCCAAGACTTTGGTTTGTAATTTTTTTGTATTATTATTTTGTACATGTGGAGAGAAGATGAGGGAAAGAATTGTAACAACCATATACACATCCCTTTCCCAACCTGTGTTTTTGTCTAAATATTCTTTTGAGTCTTTCCTAGGACATTTTAATATTACTTACCTAATGCCTTTCTAAGAATAATTGTTAGCCTTTTTCCTAGAAGACAGCACTCTCATAAAGACAGACCCTGCATAAAGAAGCTCCTGCCTGGGAATCTACTTGACCATAAACTGCTCCTCCCTTCAGCAGTGCAACCAATGAATACTTACAACAGTTTAACAAATGCCATTTTATAACTGTTTAAGAGTTGAAAATCATTAAACAATCTTCAGTTTTTAACTGGGAAAAATGTTACCTGCAACAAATCTCTGGACGTAGATTTAGCTAATGTATAAGAATTTACGCTGCTTGTTACAGCTCCAACCCAAAATAAAGCTTCCCTAGTATTGGGCCATATAAAGTGTTAGTTTTCCACTCAACGTGTAATTGCAATACATTCTCCTTCTGCAAGACTTATTGTATGTCCAGGGCAGTGCGGGACACTTGTTCAGTAGGTCACAGACTCATATTTTAGCTTTGTGCTGCTTGCATCTTTTACCTCATTTCTTTACAACTAATGGCAGCAGTAAGGAGCAGGCAAAAGCAGCTGCCCTTATGCATGGCTATTGTATATCACTGCTGTGCAGAATGCATAGATGACCATTTGTCTTATGATGCAGAGTGCTGTCAACAATGGTATTATACTGCATGATTCTCCCAACCTGGATCATGCTCGTCCGACATCTTGCCTTGTCCATAATCCTGAAACAGTCTAACTCATTGTATATTACAAACAAAATGGCCTTCATTCCTCACATAGATACCTTGCCATGGCCTCTCCATTCTGGCTTTCTCCATTACTTTCAGACCATTAGCTACCTACTGGCCTGCTTCTGCAGTGTCTGGCCCTTCGGTGTACTTTATACCAGCTAATTCTCTGGTCTTTTACTCTAGCACTTATGTCCGTCCATTATGCCCTGCAGCAAAATATCTAGCACTCCACTAGCAGTCATGATGACTTCTTCAGAACTACCTCCTTCTCTGGCTCTCCAGGTATCTTAGTCCCTGGGCTAGAATCATGAGCCAGAAGCAGAACGAGAAGTAGGCAGTGCCCATCACTTAAAAGGCTAATCATATGCTAATCCAACACCCAAGTAGTGGGGTAGTGGACCTCATTACACAGTCTTTATCTGCACAATGGGGTTAATGCTACTTCAGTAGGAGAGCAATGTTCTTAGACCCCCAATGGAGATGCAGCATATGCCAGCAAAGGTGCACTAATTCCCCTGGAAGACAGAAGCTTATCTTGCAGCAGCCTTCCTTTGTTGATATAAATGCATCCACAGTGGGTAGGTTTTAACTGTCAGCTGCATGGTGTGATCTTTCCATGTCCCTTGCGATATGTATTTTGGAATAAGTCTTAGAAAAATTAGGGATACACTGTTCCACATGCATCCTCAAAGTTCTTGCCCCTGCATCTATAGTTTCAACACTCCCCATAATGTGACTGAGCTACAAAAGAAAAAAAAGCGAGCCACTCCTAACTAGTCACATAGAATGGGGTTTCAACCTTTTTAAAGAAGTGTACCCCTTCTGGTGACGGCAGCCAGATGTGGAGCAGGGGGGGAGGGTGGACCTTGCATGCGGCAGCCACCACGACCCACTGCCCCCCACTTCCCACAGCTGGTCGCACATGCAGCTCTGTGGGCTGCTAACAGGCCTTGCACCTGGCCAATTGCATGCTGCCCATCAGCAGCCTGTGGAGCTGCATGTGTGACCGACTGTGGGAAACCGGCATGGGGTGGCGACCACTGCGTGTGAGCTCCCCCCCGCCTGTCTGGCTGGGTGGTGCCTGTGTGGCCCACAGAGGGGCACCACTGCCCTTGTCTCTCCCTCTTCCCCCATGGCCCTGCTTCTGGGAGGGGGTTGGGTACGGTGGTGGGTGGCAGCGCTCTGTCCCCGCCTGCCCACATGTACCCCCTAGGACCTTTCCAAATACCCCTAGGGATATGTGGATACCCAGTTGACAACTACTGACATAGAAAATGGGTGCTTGTGAATTTCAATTTCAAAATCAGTGTTCTGTATGAACTGTTGCCAAACATGATTAATCCCCATTCTGTATTTGCCTACAGGCTTTGTACTACGAACAGGTAATCTGCAGTTTTGTTTGGTACATTATCCTTTAAATAGAACAGGTGTTATTTCATAGACTGCAAACTTAATTTTGTCAAAACTGGGATTGTGAGAATCAAAAGCACTCAGAAGTGTTGGGAAAAGTGTCATTTATTAGAAACTCCAGAGAGACAGGCTGACAGAAAGAAAGAGTACAGAGGGAATATTAAAAAGCTTATAAAGCCTTTTTAGATTCAGGAGATGGTTAACTTGAAGGAAAAGGACATGTATAAATTGTTTCAAAACATTTTTTTTTACCAAAATACTTTTGTTCTAAATAAGTAATATTTTGCTTTAGGTAGGCTGTTTGGTTACTTTTTACCACTCATTGCTTTTGGAGAGAACAACTTTGCAGGTGCCTGCAAGTACTGATCTGCTTGGATCTCCTGCTTACTACAAACTGAGGCATAGAACTGCAACCCAAGGCCCAGTCTGAGAGTATGAGAATTGTATGATTCTATCCCAAAGGAGGTGATTGTTGCCCAAACGGCTAGTTTCGTGTCCCCGGAGGCTTTTTCGATTGACCTCAAGGAGAGAGTCACACACTCAAGCTGGGTCCATTTCAAGTTTATTGTTTGCGCAAACAAGATTGACTAGGGGGCTAGTAGCCCAAAGCAGAGTCGACCCCCGGTCTTTGTCCGAGGGTCTTTTTATAGCTTATCTAAACAAAGAACCGTAGCGTGTTATGCAGTTATTGGCTATCCTATAGCATCTACAAGCTTCTACTGTTTTGTCTAAGTTTCTGCAAGACGTCAAAGTTTCCATGGTTATGTCTAAATTTCCACAGGATGTCTTGGGTTTTCATGCTATGCTTAACTTATTATGGGTTATGTTACAGCACCTGTGTGTTTTTAACAGGGGGGTCTTTTATCTTATGTCTTTAATCTATGTGCAGAAGCTAATGCGGAAGCCATTTGCAAGCCATGTCGAATACAGAAGCATTTTGCAAAGAAAGCACTATGTCTAAATTCAATCATTATGTCTGACCTCTAATCGTATTTGTACCACAACTCCCCCCTCAAGATGCTTTCTTTCTCTACAGATTTTGATAACCTTCAGCGAGGGCTAGCGCCTGGTAACGTATAAGCATTTCACGATTGGCGACATTCCGAGCAGTTTGTTTTACAATGGACATCATGCAGGGTAGTATACAAGGAAGCAGACAGATACCCGATAATAGTAGTATAAAAACCATTATACCCTCCTTTAGC